TGACATGATATGAGCAGGTTCTTGTAGAATGGATGGCTTCCAGCTCACCTGTGTTTGTAACAAGCCTGGTTACTACAAATTCTGCTAGAAACAAGTAAGACAAAATTGCTTCAGTTCTTGGCTGCTTATTTTCTATTTCCAGGCTTTTCTCTCTAGAAAGAGTCTGGTAGTACTAGCTCAGTGGCACTTGATACTGTTTCTACAGCTTAAGGCTTCTTTAATTTCACTGATGGTTACTTCAGAAATACTTAGTTCTACAGAACAATGGATGTGTTTTCCTCCCTCATCTTTTCTTTTACCTGAACATAATAGGAAGACCCAGACTGGCAGAGCTAATTTGGACTATGTCCTATTCTTTTAACTTTTTAACTTAACTGGCTGTTAATTCACATGTGGAAGCTGATAATCATGTGTAACAAATTATAGAGGAAATGCCTCAGAAAAGTACCTGCAGAGCATGATGATTATTTGTTGCCATTAAATTTAATTGGGGGTATCTGGATACAAGCTTCCTGTGCTGCTGCCCCTCCTGCATTCACACTTGGCGGTATACAAAGCAAGTCCTATTTCTATCTCCTTAAATAAGTAGGTTTCCTACTGCTTTCATGCTCTTCAGGCTGCCTTTTTCTTTTGCTCTAAGTGCTAGTTATAGAGTCCTGGCCGTGCTGTCTCATACCTGGACTGTGCTGTCTTGCCACTTGACAAAATCAAAAGTTTATCAAAAGACTTTTGAGCCAGAAGTTTCAGTCTGTTTTCAAATACCCAGAAGATGGGGATCATCATGTTTCTTGTATGTGCAGCACCAGAAATGGTGACTTTTTTAGATGCCAGAGTTTAGAACCTCCTTTAAAGGGTTTTTCTTTCACGCAGACCTTGTGAGACACATGATCAGAGCTTGTACAGCTCGACCTCGTGTGATGTGTCCTTTTGATGAAGGTATGGCCTAAGATTTTCCTAACCAGGCGAATAATTTTAGACTCAAACAACATACTTTTCCCCTTAGACGTGGGTAAGACAGGGCTGGTGGGTATAAACAGCCAGCCATGAAGTGGAAGTCTAGGATGGAGGGATGGGTTTGGTTATCTTTGTTTCTGAAAGCTGCTGTAGCTTAGGTACTTTGTGGGAAATAAACAAAGAAAATTGTTAAAACTACAGGGGCTTTACACCTAGAGGCCAGATTTCTGCTGCTTCTATTAAAAAGGTAGTAGTAGTGAGAGTCAGTTTTCCTTTTTAAAACTTTTTTTCTGCTTGTGCATTGATGGTAGATTTCCTTGGAGTTTTGCACTTCACATTTTGGCTAAGAAATGCCACCTTACGCGAAAGATCAGGGTTTTCTCTTTTCAGTGGCAGATTTTATTAAAAAATATATTTTATTAAAAAATAAAAATAAACTTGGTACTAAGTAGCATTTGTAAGGAATATGCCCATGAATGTACTGTCATACTTCAGACTCTAGCTTGTGAAATAATGAACCAATTCCAGCACTAGCTTTGTGGAAGCTGCTGTGCAGCCACCTGGCTTGCAAAGGAGGTGGTGTTTTAAGGGTGAGTATAACTATAACTTTTCAAAAAGGAGGCTGAAATAGGGTACTGGGGGAGGTGAAGTTGCTGTTATAGTGAGAAAACTGCTGTTGTGATTTCCAACATCACCATGTCATGTTCACTGTAGTATCAATACCTGTATTGATGAACAGTACAAAACCACAGTAAGCCGGTATGGAAACTTAATGATGTGATATGGAATTTGTTCATTTGATTTTTACAAGTGGTGTTTGGAGACAGAAGAACTTGGCATTCCATGGAACATCAATCAGCTGCCCAGAAGTGAAGGTGGGCAGTACATTTTCCTCAGTCACTGATGGAATAATGCTTTTGCCAAATGGTTCTACAAAGCTGTATTTAGAGATAAAGACTATGTAACTTGAGAAAAGCATGGCATGCTTTGAAACAGGTTGTCATAAGACTTATACATAGTAATTTTTTTCTACAAGGATTCAAGAGGCAGTAGCAGTACTGTTTTTCTAATTTTGATTGTTTCAGTATTTCCAATGTAAAAGAAAAAAATAATTGGACAGCTGTGCTGTGACACTTCAGGGATTTTTGACTTGTGTTTTGGCCATGACAGGCACCCAACTCTTATAACTCAAATCGTACTGATATTAGTTCTGCTTTGCATTTATACTGATGCTGACTTCTCTCTTCTTTTGCAAAGCTACAGTGTTTTAGGGGGAAAAAAGGCGCTGTGTAGGCTAGTCAGCAGATGAGATGAAAAGGTAAACCTTTTTGCCTAGTTGTTTTTGAAATGTCTGCTTCCCCAGGTTTTAAAATTATGAATTTTTTTTTCTTTCAGTAAGTCCCTTAAATTGGAGAGAGCTGTCTACAAGCTTTATTAACCACTAGATAAAAGTGAAGGTCCAAGCTGCATGGAAAGCAGCTCCCCAGAGAAGGATCTGTGGAACAAGCTGTCCGTGAGCCAGGGATGTGCCCCATGGCAAAGCAGGCCAACAGCCTCTGGAGCTGCATCAGGCAGAGCATCGCCAGCAGGACCAGGGAGGTGATCCCTCCTCCCTCCTCAGCCCTGGTGAGGCACAGCTGAAGGGCTGGGTCCAGTGCTTAGAAAAAAGGGCGACACAGACAGGCTGGACTGAGTCCACCAAGGGGCAAAGAAGATGATGAAAGGGCTTGGAGCAGGTGACATGCAAGGAGGAGAGGCTGAGAGAGCTGGGAGTGTTCAGCCTGGAGAAGGAAGCTCAAGGTGGATTTCATCCTTGAGTATGTGTGTATATGTATGTATGTATACATATATAAACACACACAGACCTTCTGGGGTAAGTAAAGAAGCCTGAGCCAGGCTCTTCTCACTGGTGCCCCTGAGAGGACAAGAAGAAACAGGCACAAACTGAATGAAGTACGGGAGGTTCCCTTTAGACAGAAGAAGAAACTGTTTTTACTGTGAGGATGCTAAAGAGAGAGGGATGTTCCTGAACACTTCACTTAAAATAATTACTACGCAATTGCTTTTCCGAGTTCCTACAAGCATTGACGGTTTATGCAAGCAGACGAAATTCAGCAAGGGCAGCTTATGGAACTGTAGGCAACCAGGTAGCAGGTATTTATGTGGAGACAGGTCTTAGAAAGGTAGGGCTGCAGCTGAACCTTTCACCTGAACCTGTTTTTCTGGAAGAAAATGAAGATGGAAAGTAGAGGAGACAAGAATTACAGACTCTTGAGGTGCCTTCTCATGATTAAATGCAAGTATCTTGGCTATCAGACCAGCTCCTTCTGATAAAAGAGGGTCTCTTAAAACATAACAGACCATTCCACCTAACTCTATCCCTGTTGCTGATGCAGGTGCTGCGTTGCTGGACCCTTAGTGCTACAGCTCTGCAGCACTCCAGGTGTGTTGTGGAAGCCTGACCTCAGAAACAGCTGCTGCTAAAATGGGTGGGTGGCTTTGATCAAATACCTGTCTGGTTGCTGAAGGCGTACAGCAGGATGTAGGCCTTTGTGCTAGTTGTGGTATTTCTGCTCATTTTTTCACTGGTCCTCAACTTTGCTATTTCTTTGGCTCTAGCTGGAGCTCTGTTTTAAATGTAGACTCATGCTGTGCTTATGCCTTGCTCTAGTTAAAAGGTGTGGAGCTAGTTACATGAACTAGTAAGTATTAAAAACTGAAGCACAAGCTGTTGAGCACCTGAATTAGCTCATCCTTGTGCTGGACTGCAGTAATCATCTCTGTTCTCCCCACTGCTTGGAGTAGGACTAAAACGCTCTCCTTTCTCCTTCCCTTCTCTTGTTTGACCCAAGAGAGCACCAATAGAAAGAAAACTGAATTTGCTTTTGCAGAGTTAATGATGTCTTTCAGAGAATGCCTTGAGACTTAGTAATGTTTGCTGCAGTGAGAGCAAATGCAGGGGAATAGCTGTAAGCATGGCCTAGGCAATCCTAGTAAAGATGGCAGGATAAGATTTGTTCTAAGAGACTTGAGTATATGCTTAAGAGTGATGACTGAGACTAAGGAACTCTCACACCCATGTTGCTCTCTGCAAGTCCAAAGACAGACTCTTCCATTAATGCCTGAGTCTCTTAGGACCCTACATTATGTGGTAGAGATGATCTTGGGGGAAGAAAAAGTATCAAAAGCCTGAAAGGCAATTAGCATGACTCTTTCCTCTTCCTTCCTATTTTCTGAACTACCTGTAAGTAGAAAGAGGTGTTTAAATTACATTCATTTCCTCACCAGAAAGGCTAGTGGAGAAGGAAAGTACCTGAAAGACAGCACAGCCATAACAAGTACATTCATCAGATCATCTCAGTTCAGCAGGTGGCCTTTGGCTTAAAAAAAAAAGAGCCAAACTGTCTTTGCATACTTAATTTGGATGAGCACAAGATAAAGAAGTTTGAGATCTGAGGCTGCCATGTGCTTGCTATAACATGGCATCTTTCAGAAACAAAAATGATAGCTAAGGTCATTAATAAAAGCAGCTGTTAAATCAGTGACAGATGGCCAAAGCAGTTGTATAGTTAATGCCTTGATCCATGTCAGATAAAATCCAAAAATAATTTAAAAAAA